TTAAAATTGTTTATTTTCTTGAACATACTTGTGTTTAAATAAATTAATTACGGTCTAAAAGCATTTAGCAAATCTGAAAAGTTAAACTCATGATTAAATTCCAAACCTTTTTGTCAGCCCTTATGCCCCTCCCTGCTATCATTTTATCAAGCCCTCAAATCTCTCATTGTGTTGAAATTGCAAAAGCCCCGAAATTGTGCTCAGCTTTTGGAAAATGGCAAAACTGAGTTTCCGTTGGCTGCCATTGCATGCGTTTCGTTTATTGTTTACTGAGCTCATTTAATTTATTTGAAGGGCATTATAATTACGGGCTGTCAGTTACATTATGCCATGACATAATCTTGATTACGTGCCAAATGTAATTTCTGTGAATTCCGAAATATTTTATTAATTATACAAATTATGTTTGCACTAGATAAGAATTATTGAGTAATTGAGGTTTGAACTATTTGCACATGGCTGTCAGTCAGTGGCAAGTTGAAGATGAAGAGTCAGCATACAACTTTTAGGTATAATTTATATGCAGCACTTAACGCGCAATTTTCAAGTACAAACACATACATGTTCCGCTGCAAAGTACGTGAATTTGTTAGAGTCAATCAAGTTGATTGATCGCCTTTGAATTTGCAATTGAGCGAGTGTATGTATGTGTGCCTGCTTAAGGGCGCTACATCAATTATTTAGGACTCTGGCAGCAGGATGAGTAACAATACAATAACAGCGACGCCTGTTAATTGCGATGGCCCACAATATGGCGTATGCGTAATGCGCAATATTTGTTAAACTTGTAATTGAGCGGCAACATCAGCACATGCCAAAAAACTTGAAATAAACACAACATAAGAAAATAACAAAAACAGGAGGAAGAAGCAACAGCTACCATTTTCCAAGACAGCACAAATATATGCCAATCTTCAGACCAAAAAAGCCTCAAGGTTGGGTCAGAGGATTGCAAGAATCGAAATCACTTAAATACAAACTGTTCGAAAACTTTCTGCAACATTTTCTAATTGACTTCAGATGCCCCAACCCCCACGTCTTGCGGTGTCAAATGTCAAATGTCAACGTCGGTCGTTTTCAATTATTTAATTGCTAAGTGCTTGTGCTGATTGGATGGCATTTTCATAAAAATCATGTTTTCGATAACCAAATCTATAGTTGGCTTAAATGTCAAACCAAACAATTATTATTAGTGATTTTAGATTTACCTCAGATACAGCAAACATTGTTCATATTGTGGTTCCACTGAGTGAATATATTAATTTATTGGCTATTTTATAAGGACTATCAACTTTATGCAATATAGTCAACTTAAATTTGCGATTGCAATTGTTTATATTTGCTAGGAAGTTTCATGTTATTACGTTTTTGAAATGTAAATGTAAATTAAATTGTAGAGGAGAACATTTATTTTTAATTTACAGATATATATATGTATGTTGTTGATATCTAAATTTAAAAATCATCTGCTACTGTAGAAATTATATATTTCTTTCCTTGTCATTTCATTTGACTCAGGTATACAGAAAAAGCAAATATCCGAAGTTTGGAAAAACTTTCATATATTTGTTTACTTCTTTTTGTTCGAGGCATTCCAGACATGCAACACACATGCTCAAATAAATGTGGACACTCAAAGCAATTGCATTCAGCAAATGCAAGCTGTTAGCAACACTTTCTGGGGTCTTAAGTCGCATTATTTCGAGTGTTCGATATATAAATGGCTGACAACCAGAGACTACAAGTCAGAGCACTTACCAAGCACACCACAGACCCACACACACGCATTCTCACATGAACACAACACAAGCCGCTTAACGTGCATCAAGGTATCTATATGTGTGTGTGTGTGCCTCGAGGTTTGTGGTGCGTGCCACAGTTTGAAGCTGTAAGCAAGTTTCCTCCCTACTTGCCTCAAATACGCAACTTCAGTTGAAACGCGCTTTTGAACACATTTCCGCAATTTCAGTGTTTCTACACGCGTAATGAAAGACCATGGCGAAAATTGATTTAACCATCGATCAGGTTTTTTGTATTCCTTTTTATGTGGTGCACTTTGCGTTTAATAGTTTTTTATGTTTTTATACGTGTAAATGGGTTTGTCTGACAAATTGATGCCATCAAAAACGTTGTTTGTTGTTTGCATTAAATATATTTTTTGCTGACGAAATATATTTGGATACTCCATTTCCGTTGACATATGAAGGGCATAGATATATATAGTATTGAATATGTGGTCTGTACAAATGTCATGCGGTTATATCGGCTTTGTTATATATTTTTGAAAAATCGTTATTATGTACATTTTATATTGTGTGATATATCGGATAAGATATATGATTGATTATTTTCATGATATCTCTTTATATAACAAGTAAGAGGTTCTAGTCGGGAGCTCCCGACTAGGGGAAGCCCTCTTCTTTTAACATCAAATGCATATATATATTCTAGTTTAGAAGCTATATGTCAAGTTTGGTGACTCTAGCTCTTATTATTTAACAAAATTGCCCAAAAAACAGGAGACCGACATCGATTTTTATCGATTGCTTGGAAACGAAGTAAGTTGTCGATTATTGGAAATAAACTCGATCTGCGCGGGCACTAGGAGCACCTACACCTAAATCAAGCCTATAGCTCTTATAGGTTCTGAGATTCTTGCGTTCATACGGACGGACGGACGGACGGACGAACGGACAGACAGACGGACATGGCTAGATCGACTCGGCTATTGGTGTTGATCAAGAATATATACACATTATGGGGTCGGAGATGCTTCCGTCTGCCTGTTACATACATTTGGATTTTGCACAAATACAATATACCCTTATACCCATTTTTGATGGGTTCAGGGTATAAAAATGTTTGTCCTGATTGACTGTCTGATTGGTGCAATGCACAGCCCTAACCGTAAGAGCTACGAGCTACACTATATATATATATCCTCATATAATACAGCCCACTCCACTCTTATTATTTTTTTCAACATAGAATTTTTATTACATTTGAAGCACTTAACTTCACGCTTTTGAGAATATTTAAGAAATCCTTTAACTCTCGCCGCAACACGCTTACATTACATATCACACCTTTCTTATTATATTTTTGCCTAGAGCGGGGGACTCGCTACCAGAAAAGCTGCTTTGCTATTCAGCCTATAAAAAACAATAAAAAACGGCTGCGAAGTCGTCTTAGCTAATGCCTTTTCGGCAGCCAAATCGCGAAGCGCGCGCAATGGCTTGCGGCTATATTCTGAGTGCGGGATAGAAAATTTATAATTAATATTGAAAATATATAAGTAGGTATGTGCTTATGCTTATGTACATTTATTAAGACGCACATGCACGCAATAAGAACGGCAGCAAGGGGAAAAGCTGTCAGCGAGTGTACTCGACTAGAAAATTATACTCTTTAAATAGAGCAACTGATCTTTGGAATAACTTCTAACTTTTTTATAATTCATTAAATTAAATAAAAGTTTTAGCAATGGATCAAAAAATATATTACACTTAAATATGGATCAAATATTATTATTATTTTTCTTTAATAATATTGCAATAATGCAAGTGTATTTAAATTAAACAAGTGAAAGCGAAGCAGAAATAAACTTCATCTATATATAACAGCTACAGAAACTTCAAGGCTTGTCACTGCAAAACATTAATTTTTAAAGGGTATAAAAAGTCAGTAGCCTGAGAAAAATACACATAAATATATATATGTACATATGTACATATATAAATATATATATTGTACATATATATATATATAAATGTATATATTGTATATATGTAAATTCCATTTCCCAAAAAAACTCGCAAATAAATGCGCCAATTTTTCGCATCAAAAGCTGCGCATTCGTGTATAAAGTAATATAAATTTAAATATTTAGGCTCGACATGCTGCTTGGGCATAGGTCCTATATATATTATCTGGTCGTTTTTTCTGGTATACAAGTATTTGTGTATATGTGGGGAATTCGGCTACTTATGCTAATTTGGCATGCAGATCGCGTCAAATGTAAACATTTTGCTTAGATTGCGTCCTTTTGTTTCTGCCAACTAATATCGATGGGCATTTCTGTAGAAATAAAGGCTCCTTTTCAGCTGCTGCGTCTGTAATTGAGCATAAAGGAATATGGCCGAGCCAGGGGTTGTTTTCACTGCCACACATAATATTTGCATGAGGCCAGACAATGGCAAACAGGAAATGAGTTCGGTTATTTTATGTTTGACAAGGCAGACAGCTCTAGAGACAGTCTATAGACTAAACAAAGTGTGTGTGTATACAAGCTGTGTGCCTGTGTCTATTCAGTTGCTTTATTTACTCTAGCCTTTCATCTTTTGACACTTCATAACATTATGTACACCCCAGCAGCGAATGAAATATTTAATGACTATTTAGCATATATATTTCTTGAACCTATTCATTTTTGCTAGCAAAAGTTGGCCTAATTAAAATGTCTAATTGCTTGCACCAGTTGCAAATAAATTATTTACAAAATGAGCCAAGCTAAAAGTTTGCTCATTAAAGTTTTTATGACCATATATTGTTGAAATATATATTTGTTGGGAGAAAATTTGTGCATTTGCGATATTATTATGGAAGTTACTATATGTAGGTCCTATTTAATTACAGATATATATTACAGCAAAATACTTGCGGGCTCTTTGTAAATCAGTTACATTTCAGTAACATTTCAAACAAAGCTGGTTGAGAATGTTGCTTCACGTGACTGTGACGGCAGTCCAAATTTGGGAAATTGTCGTGATTCCTATTTCTCTTGTTTGGCAGGTTGACAAAAAGTGTATTAAATATTATCAGTTGGTGATTGCAATTTTTATTATAATTTAGCTCACATACAAAGCCCCATTCTCAAGGAATGTAAGTCCCTCCAGCCTTTACTTTTATTCTTCTCTTTAAGCTGCTAGTTATAATTCTAATTTATATGTTTATATAAATGGTATGTCGATAATAACAATTTTCCGTCTTATTTAACTTACCTGAAAACTATGATTTACGTTCTTTATGCTGCACTCGAAATAACACAATTCCGATAGGTCAATCTCGTCGAACACATCGCACTGCAAATGACACAAATTACAAATTGAAGGGATTAAAATTTAATCTGTTTTGTAATTAAGGGCAAGGCTTTTTTATTGGTTGAGTGCATTTATTTATATTTTGTGTGTGCTAAAACATCGGTAGGAATTTGAATGTGATTATTGACATAGGTAGGGATTATTTTTAATTACATATGTATTGGGTAATTAAATGTATATAACATATATATAAATATAATTTATATATATATTATTATATATATATATTATATATATATAATTTTCTTAGTACAGTAAGGGAATGGCTTTAAACATTGTTGCCCCACGTTTTGCGTAAAATTCTCTTCCTTTGTTTTGATTTTTTGTTTTGGTAACAGACGCCTGCACAAATGGCCCTATAAATGTTACTTGGCAGCCTGCCAAGCCCTACGTCTTACACCCTTTTTTGAGGTTATTAGAATATTGCCGCTAAGAGTGTAACGCGTTGCAGGCAATCCGCACTTTATCACATAGCTGATATAGAAAGAATGGTTTTGAAAAACTTATCTTGACCAAAATCTTATTAATTTCATTGTATTTCATTGTTTTCCAAGATATTTCAATCAACGTCAAGAATTATTCTCTTCCCAAATCTTCAAAAGCGTAAGCCAAATGCCTGGAAGGGTATTTAGTCTTCGGCCTGCAGAAGACAGTATTTTATCGTGTCTCCTTTTTTTTTCTATAATATTCTTTGGTTTTCTTTTGCTTTCTGGACCTTGCTTTGTTGCTTAATGAAATACACAAAAGAGGAGCCAGCGGCAAATTGTTTGTTATTTTTTCTTCTTTGGCCTTGTTAGCTGAACGTCGTGTTGTTATGTATATGTGTATGAAGGATACGCATACTTGGCAGTCCTTACGGAAATTGAAATGTTTTGTAAACACGCACACACACATATATACGCAGATACATCACACGTCAGGCATACGAATGTGTATTTGCGTGGCAACAAAAGCCAAAGGCAACTCTTTTTGCCACATAATAGAGAAGTATGACAATGGAAAACTGAATCGAACAACTTATGCCAAGGCTTACTTGCTCAAGCCGTCCAGTTGTGGATATTCAAAATTGGTTATCTTCAAAAAGTTTGCTTTCAATTCGCTTTCACCTCTTGAACAACAATGTGGAAAAACTTGCAACCAAAGTTTTGCCTTAGTTGATATTCAATTCTTGCCAGTTCGATTAATATTTGAGTAGTATTTGCCTTTTGAGTTATTGTGTAAATTAAAGTTTTCTATTCTATGATATTTCTTGGAATTATATTCCATTCTATTCTATTCTATTCCATTTATTTTTTATTTGTCTTGTGTATTTCTTTTCACAGCTCGTGATAGACGCAAAATTCACGCAATTTCAAAGAACTTGTGACTCGCACACATACTGTGTTTACATTTGTGAATATTTTCAAGTGTAATTTGTGCTTAGTTTTTATGTGTTGTATTTTGTCAGGTCTATATCTATGTTATATGGGTAAACATGGTATGCCAACTAAATCGATTAAAAGTAATTGGCTTTAAAGTTGACTCAAAGATTATTTATTGCATTTCTGCCAAAGCAGAGACAAGTTGGTTAAATATGATTATGATCTAAGCCTTTAAGGCTTTAAAGTACATATACTGGTATACAAATTTTAATCTTGTTTTAATACCATTTGTTAAGGCTCTTAGCCCGTGCTTAGCCTTTATTCCATAATAGTATACTAAGTATACATATATAAAAAATAATAAATTGAATTTTCTGGCCAAAGTTAGGTGTTTTGACAGCTACCCTTAACTCTCTCGGAAACAAATAAACATTCTTTCGTCCATCATAAAGACAAACTTTTTTTTTGTGTGTTTGCAATAAGCTGGACCAAAACCAAATGGTCAGCATCTATAAATGGCAATGAAAATGGATACCCTAATGAAACCAAATTGATTGAAAACTCGGCAATCACTCAAACCGGAGATGAATGAATACCCTGGCGGCAAAACTCAGAAGCAGAAGGAGAAGGAGCCGCTTAATCCAGCAGAGTGAGCATTATAATAATTATACAAATACATATATGAGCGAACGTAAGTGTGTAGCTGTGTGGGTGTATGGGTGGGTGTATGTGTGTAATGGACAGCTTGTTGCCAGCAATTCGGAAAATTGCACGGAAAATGCGAGGCAGGAAAACGTCAGTGCCAGTCAAGCGTCTTTAGACAGCAAGCAGTTGGCTGAGTGAATCGTTAAACGGTCAGGATGTTGAAGGAAAAATCGTTAAGTATCAGCAAGGATTTTAAGCGCTTTGCAATACTCAGAGAGTGGTGGCAGTAGAGATCGGGAGTGGAGGGAGCTTGCTTGTGTTTGCCTTTCGTCTGTACCTCATTTTGCTGGCATTGAATGCTTGCAGCTTTAATTTCTGCGCGCATTCTTACCCTGATATTTTGCCAAAAATTTGATAGCTGTTTGCCCGGGCAAGTCCTCGAGCCCAGACATTTTCCGCTTGAATGGCTATTGTAAATCGTTGCCAGGTTTTATTTGTGCTCTCGTCGAAATTATGAAGAGAGCCCATAACAAATATTCTTGTGTGTATGTGTGCAGCAGCTTCGGCTGAAGCGTGAATTGGAAAGGAAATCAATAAATAAATACGCGTAATTAAAAAGTAAGCGAACTGTTTAATCATTCCAGTTGCAGGCTGACAGACCAATTTCAGTAAAAAATCTACAAACATGTAGCCTATAAATATGAAAATGGTTGATCTACTTTTGCAATAAGTAATAGGGTATCAAAAGTAGTCGTTACATATATTCCATTCATATTCCATTCATCTTTAATTCTAAATAAATATAAATAATAAAACGCAATTTAATACCCGGTAATCTTATCGAAAGGGTGAAGGCTTGTTATCAATCGACGGAAAGCATTTGAACATATTTTGTATGCCCTGCCGCTTGTAAAGTTGTTCTAGTTCTTACTAACTAGTTCGAAGTTCTTACTAACTAGTTAGAAGATGCCACCAAGCATATTTTATACCCTGTAGCCCTTCATATATATTTTATACAATATTACAATAATACCATATTAATGCTCACCTTTAAACATTTTCGCCCAGTTTGTATCTATAAAAACAAACTCAAGCATACTATTGAAGGCACAACCATTGATATGCGCTACGTATAAACTAGTCAAAGTTTCTTCATTTTTGTTATTTGCTTTTCTTGGATTGGATTGGCGGATCCCTTTTGACCTTTGGGAACTGGACATGAACTGAGATGTAAGAAATTTCTTTGGAATTGCTTGGGATTCGACTTTGGTCGTTTACTCGCAGGTCAATCACAAATACATTAAGCAAATTGCTACATTACTGGTTTTTTTTTCTGGGCCTAGGGTGTGTAAGCCCTGGAGGTGAAAAACTTTGATTGCATTATGCTGAGATTTGCCCACACACCTCACCTGGGGGCTAAGCTGCGAGGCGTAATCATTAATTTGCGCACTTTTCGACGTCCAGTCAGCCACCTGGCGCAAGCAGCAAAAGAAGTAGATAAACTTTATACTCATTTCAGGACTTATTATGTTGTTGCTGCCTCAACTTGTGTTTGCTACAGCTTGCAGAAAACTTTTGCTCATTCATATCAATTTCTTTGCATTACTTTTCGGCTCGTATTTTCTTCAAATTTTTTGGGTTTTAATATTTTTTCTTTTTTGCGAAATCACTTTATGTAGGAGGTCGAGAAAAAAGTGGCAAACAATTTATTAGAATTAAGTAGAGGTAGAAAAAATTGCTGACGCGGCAGTTGAGAGCCGCGTTGAAGGCAAGAAACTAATTGTGCATAATATATTCAGGAGGACATATAAAAAAATAAGTCTACCTGGCATTAAATACCATATCTTAGATTTATTCAAAGGTCAGTTAAATTTCATTACTTCATAAAGTTTCTTTCTCTAAGTTTTTGTAGGCAAAAGTTTAATTCATGCAAACTTTTTAAACTGATTTTTAATTAAATATGTAGGGTATCAATTGTCTACTATTCTACTTATAATTTTTGATTTACATACATGCTTGCATTTGTTTACAGTTTTGCTGCTACATGCCTGAGATAAACTACGTAACAAAAACTTGTTTCTCGAAAACTTTTTTATTTGATTTATTTATTTTTATTTTTTATCTTTCTTCAGAGTCGCTGCATAGAAAATAAAAAGACATTACGAAACATTCTTTCAATGACTTTTGCACTTTTCATGCTGCAGTTTTTATCTTGTTTTATTTTTTATTGCAAGGACTTGCAGTGAAAGTTGAGAGCGGAACTTTGCAAGATCTTGGAGTAAAAGTCGACGAAAGCGGTTTGGAAAAGGTACAAAATTTGTACATTTAAGCCGCTTACAGTTGGCCCAACTAACTGAGCAATCTAGAGTGGAAAATTTTAAGTTGCATGACAATCCTTGTCAGCAGTCAAAAGGAAGCAGAATCAGGAAAAATACCCCAGCAAATATCGTTTTAAATATGTATCAACGAGTCAGACCGAGTTGCGCAAACTGATTGAAGTTCAAAGGCGTTCTTGAAGGTGTCGGCGACGGGAGCAGGGGAGGGAGTCGGTGGGCGTCTGTGTGGGCGTGCTTTCATTTGGCGTGTCGAAAGTCGCGCCACTAGAAATGGCTGGCATTTTAATGGTATTACATTATAATGTACCGCATTAAGCATCGCCCCCAAGCCAGTTATTAATGTGCCATAATATTTATATTTGTGCGTCGCAAACTGTTTGCTACTGGCGTTGCCCAACCTGTGTTCCTGTAACCTCCTCTCTCCCAGTGCAATCAATGTGCCTTAAATTTAAATACACTCACACACAATTTGTAATGACTGTGCAGTTTGATAGCACCTTTTCTATATTAAGCAGTTGAGTGTGGTGAAAGGCAGTTCGTGGGGTCCTAATTGGGCATTAGACCTATGAAAGCAGTGAGAGTTACATAATAAGCACATAATGTCAATTTGGGTTGCTTGAGTTTCTGAAAATAAACAAGAAGACAAATATTTTTGGATTGCTCGGAAGACAAATCTTGAAAGAAAGAAAATGAATGTGGCAAATTTGTAATTAATTATAAATGTAAATAAATATATTTAAAAACTGCTTAAATTGAAGTAAGTAGAAAATTATATGGAAATTGTCAAACCCAAGAAAAGATTAAAAATGTTTTATATACATTTTTAATTTCGGTTGCTCTACAAATTGAAATATAAAAAAAGCATTTTATAAATGTTTCAATAAATAAAATAAGACAATAAACAATGCAAAAAAGTCTTAAAGGCTTAAATCAAAACAGCTGGAAAATCGAAATAAAATGATGTTGTTTCAATTTGTTTGTAATTTTTATGATAAAATAAATATAAAATATGCAGACTAATGCCTGAACAAATTATGAAAACCAAAATAAGTATTTCACATACCTATGAACTTGGATAAAAGTAAGTGGAAAATAATTCGAATATATATAAATCCCATATGTTTGCCATAAAACGTTTTAAATAAATTATATATATGTCAATCAATCCAACGACCGGCTGCTCATGTGCTCTCAATGGAAACTGTTAGCAGACAAAAAAAAAAACCTTACGTCAATTAGTAATACTCAGATGTGGCAGGAGCTGTGTGTGACCCTCTCTAGAGTAATTCGCCACCCGTCGGCACAGCTGGCAATGCATCCCTAGAGCTGGTCTGTCTGAGGTCTAAGCCCCCATCTGTCAGGGCGACATTCTGGCTGTTTCACTGACAATAATGGTGATAAATTAAGGTTCGTTTTGTGCTGCCATGTTGCAAGTGTGGTGTGCGGCAAATAAGATTCAAGAGACAAATGCAATATTAATGCCTTACATTAAGTACATTCCGTGTATAGCTATGCAGCTAATATCGAATATTATTAAAAAAAGTTATACGAAAGGGCGGGTTATTAAATTGGTTGCAATTTATGAACAGGCTTTAATTGCATCTATCACTATAAATCATGGATTTCTTGTATATTTATAGTCCAAAAAATTATGCTACAAAATATGTTAATGTCTGAGCTTAGATTTAGGGTACATTTGCACTCATTTGCCCTCGCCTGCTTTAAGCCTGGTGGGCCTTATGCGGGTTAAGTGTGTGTATGCTCTTGTCTAGAGGACCATTCACATAAAACTGGCGTACATTCAACTTTACCCTTTGCGTTGAGGACCACACGGAACTGCACGTGAGTGTGTGGGTGTGTGTGTATTTGTCGGCGAATAAAAATCCATAAATAACACTTAAGTAGTGGCAGCTAACACAGAAATATGCTCTTACCTCGCATACTCATATGTTTTTTGCGTGTATTCAGCCCTCGGGCGTAACAACAACAATAACAAATTTGAGCCATGTGCAACCGTAGCGCGGGATTTTAAGCCAAGTTTGAGTGGACCAAAGTGTGGTCGATGATTTTTAGCTTTCAGCGCTTTGTTCTGTGAAATGGAAATGGCCTTGCCAACCGCCGCTAGCATCAGCCTCCCGGATAGCAGCTTTTATGTTTTCAGCTCAACGCCATTTTAATAGAATTTTGTTCTTTTTTTTGTTTTTCATTTTATTTCCTTTCATAAGCACTCAAAGATTTTTTTTCAGTCACTAAAAGTTAAGCCAATCAAAGGCACTAAATTTGATTGAAACGCCAAAGCTAGAGGCAACAGCTTTGTGGAACTAAGCACATTTAAAGATTTAAAGATAGAAATTTGTATTTATGTGTACATTTATTCTTATTGTACCTATATCAAACTTATAAAAACAATTTTCAAGAATTTTTGAGAAAATTATAAATGCAAAAGTTGTAACAGTTTTTGTTTACAAATATTATGAACGACATTTTCAAAAAGTAAAAGGTTAAAAGGTTCTGTATGTCACACTTATATCCAGCGTAATGAATGACTAATACCAACTATTTTTGCTCCTCTTTTGCTTCTTTATTTAGCTCAACAAATTGCATAAATAATGCCCTTTTACGTCTATATAGCCAAGTAAGCTTAATTACTTAATCTTAGTCTCGGAAATCGCATAAATTCTTATACGAAAAAATACATACATACAGTCAAGCCTGCAGCGTGATTTATGCAACATAATTTATGAGTCTCATTTTGTGGAAGCGGATAAAAAAAATGGGAAGGAACGGAGTGAAAGTCGACTCCTGTCGCAGCACAACAATTTTTCAAATAACATTTTCTAAGCAGCTCCAGCGACGGCGCAACAAAATACATATGACCTCGTTTTGCGTTTGATAAAATGATGTTCTTAGCCCCTTGTTCATCCATTCTCCTTGCCGTCCACCCGGGCCCGACAGCCTGCACAGTCTGATAAAAGCCAGAAAACGATGCCGGATATCCGGCCAGGAGCGATCAGACCACAATGGCAGCTGACAGTTAGCAAAACTTGACCATGTGTGTGTCCAAGTCACCAAGAGCCCGTCCCCCACTCATTGCAAATAAGTTTCTCACGTTTCTTTTATTTTTTTTGACTATCTGGCATGTTTAGATTGCCCTGCATGGCGCTGCCAGACGACTAAAAATCCGCCTTAATATTTCATAAAGGGTACAAGTTTTTGCCTTTCTGTGCATTTGTAGGCCTGGGATCTGAGGTCCTACATTATAAGTTCGAAATTCACGTTGAAGGCTTTTTGTCTGGCAGCCTAAGTGCACTAACGTTCCTAAGTAATCAAATATGTATATGGCTCCCTAATAAACGATGAGCATAATCACATGCATATCAGAAGAGCTTTAATAATTGGAGTTTGAGCAACATTGTTAACTTTTAATAATTTATGAATCTTCAGAGATAAGTTAAAAAATAAAATATGAAGGTAATATAATGAGAATAAATTTTTAATGTACCAAATAAGAATAAATATTTATAAATTGTCAATCATTTCATATTGGGAGTCTAATCAATTTGTATGATCGTGTGTATAAACAAAATAAAAAAATATAATTTTGAAAGAGTTTTGGCAAAGTTATTGAGTTCGTTAATCACATTGAAAAATTATATAAATCAATAATAAATTATTTTAAATACATTTTTTTCTTCAATATATATCTGTAAAATATTTTCCCTTCTTCATGTTCATATTAATTATGTTATGTTTACACAAGTAAACATATTTCATAAGCTATCCATCTATGCCTGTACATATCTTTACTAAACTACAACAGCGTGAGCTATAAGAAAAAGTTTTATTTATAGCCAAGTCTGAACTAATGTTGTTTCCGCCTTTGGATAAATTGGCCCGCCCAAGCGCAAGTCGTTAAAAGCTAATTAAATATTGAATTGATTCTAATCTTGAAAAGAAGCTATTTCCTATATTTTTCGAATAGCTAGCTAAGCTTTAATCTATTTCGAGCTAACATAAAAAATAAAAACCTTTCCCTGGTCGTAAATCGCTTAACTGGTTATTTTATTCCTTCACTTTTTGCTTACATGGACAACAAAATTAATATTCATGAAAGGTGGGTCATCAAAACTACATAAACTGTGAGGGTAAACCAAATCAGATCCAAATCCCTTAAAGCCTTCAACTAATGGCAACACGCATCCTCTTAATGCGCGGGAAAGATTTATATTTAACATAAAGCCGTGCATAAATTTTAAGGCCAATAGGCCACAACGTAAGAGATGTAACATAAACCTTAACGTAACACGTCAATTCGAGCATCAAGCGCCTTTAGCTGTCTGCCAACACCTTTTAGTCGCATGGGGGCGTGCAGTTTATTTGGGCCTGTGTTGAAGTTCGTGCTGCGGTAGAAAAGTGCGGGCTGTGCCAACAATTTCGGAACCATTTGATTTTTTGGGTCCTAAGCTGGATCAGCGAGGTGTTAATGATTACGCGTCCGTTTCAGCTGGGCATGCGGCAAACTTTGCGAGGTTTCCCAAAATCCCTTTTCTCATTTTCTTTGTGGCTTCTGTGCAAACCATAGCTAAGCAGTTCGATAATATTTATTTTTTAGTATGGATAATAAATAATATTCAATTAAGATAAAGGATGCTTCCTGGATGTCATCAAAACAATCAAAAAACATGCTTATAGTGAAAATCAAGGTAATATATCAAGAAATGTGGTTAAGAAGAAGCGAGTATAAAATTTCTGCGACTAGTCCTGATATTCGAATATACTAAGCCTAAAAGGTGGGCCTGGAGATATCGATTTTTATCGATATTTCTTTAAAGAAAACTCTACGATAACCTACGAAATTGCATTGCTAACTCTCGAGCTCGTCGACATTTTCTGGCCTTACCTTGGTTCAAATTATACCCATTTAAATCGAAACATTGTTGAGTATGTTAGGAAAAGGCACACCTCCCGGTGAAGTGCAAACTATGAGATTTATTGGACCCCTGACAACAGGGTATGAAATGTATTTAATTAAGTTGTTGGTAAACTGTTATTTTGGTTTTATGTTTGTCTGGACCCCTCTCTTTCGCAAGTTTTATTAACAAAAATTGTTCACTTTTAGTTTGGCATGCAAATGAAAAAGTTTACAAGGTTCATTTCATAGTTGCTTCTATTATGGTTTCACCTTGTGGTTGGGCGAGCTATTTGTATATATCTTTTGCCAAGCACTAAATGACTTTTATAAAATTTAATTTCCAATAGACTGGTAGCATAATGGAAATCTCAAGTACTTAAGTCAATTTGATTTCAAAAGTAAATGCTGTTGACAGAAATTGATATGGCACTTGAAATATGATTAAACACATATAAAGTTCAACGAGAAATACTGATCAAATTCCGCCGAATACTTTTGATTGATTTAGGCAGCTTCATAAAAAACTGTAGTCGCCAGCTAACACTTGAGGCGAAAAGGAAAATTTAGTAAATAAATCAATTATGGCGCCTGCCTCCGCACCTGCCCCGTGGTCCTCATTGAAAAGATGTTTGTCATGTCAACGAGCTTTTCAGGGCAAAGACTTTTACTAAATGGCCTTATAATTGACAGCTGACCGTCCAGCACTCTCAAAATACGTCACTCAACACCCATTTGGGCTGTCAATGATTCAAGTTTCTCCCTGTTGCTAGATGGGGGCGCTCGCCTGTCAGATTTAGGCACCGAAAAGGTTTCCATCGGCTCTTAAAATCGTTTTTGTCATTTTCCATTGCCTTGTTACATATCGAATGTAGTAAAGCAAGAATAAAGGAAATTGTTCCGTTGGATATATTCTATACCCCTTTCACTCAAAGCATTCAGTTAAACATTCTCTTGTCGCACGAGTGTCTCATTTGGCTCAGGTAAAACAAATTAAGGCTACAAAGTTATTTCAACCTTTTCTTTCTAAAACGCTAAAAGAAATTTCTGCTCCTTTGCATTTTTAGCGTGTATTTTGCTGTTTTTTGGGCTTGAATGGACTTGAAAGGTGTTTAAATAAATTAGAGACAAAATGGAAAAGTGTCGAAGAGAAAGAATAAATTGAATATCAAAATTAATTTTATTAATAAGTAAAGATTTCAAAATTCAATTAGTATCCTGGCTAGAATAAAACGCTTTGATGCGGGCCATGAATAAGTTTATAAAGTGGAATGTTGGATGTCTGCCAACAAAAGCTTTAGCCAGAATCGCTGCAAAAATAATTAGACCAAACACAATCCCCTAGCTTCAAGGCCAATACTTCTTTTCAGCCCGCATTCCCAGGCCAAATGTTCAATTTGAGCTCGAAATAATACCACATAGCTTTTGTCTAGGCCCAGGTTTCGTCGGTGGGCTCGTTTCTGTACACTTACTGGAATGTTAGAGCTTTTGTACCTTTATTTTCTAAGAAATGGCTCACCGATTCAATATACAAATTGGGCTATATATGCCTGGCATAAAGAATGTTTTGGAAATAAAATTATAAACATTTTTATGACAGTCTTCTTAAAAATGTCGTTTTATTGTGACTGTGAAGAAGGCGCAATAAATGTAAGGCAATGGCCTTGTGCTCTTTGTCAGACTGGTTGATTGAGTTGTGTGCTTGCGTTTGGTTTTAGTTGCGGCCAGTTTCTGCTCGTGTCGTCCATAAATCAAGGTGATATGTCAATTTGGTCGAACATAACTCACATTTAGATTGCTCTACTCAAGATGATTCTGCGTGTGTGTCTGTGTGTTGAGTTTTAGTATTTATTCACCATTGGCGCACAAAAGTATGCTACAGAAACGGTGTATGGTGCAATGGCCTTCAGTGCGTTAAGACTGCCGACGGATGTTGCCAAATGCCACAATTGCTGCGGCGCATTTTCATTTCCTACATGCGGGCCCCCATAGCACACTGCATTTCCATTGAAAGTCGGTAGCCCATCAGGCCAGCTGCTATGATCGGTAGCGGCGAGCAAGCAAGGTTTCGCAATTATGCAAAAAATAGCGCCAGCTTCTTGGCTAACGAATTTCCATGTGGCTGAGCTCTCTAATGAGTTTCTGCTAAGCTTGAATATGCTGTTTACAAATTCGAAACTGTAGCAATGCACTTAGTTGCCTTTAAGCATGGTTTTTAAATTGACAGGCATGTTAAAGACATTTTGCTATGTCAATCACTTTGTGTTCAGAGTCAGGTGGAAAAGTTTTTTGGAATGCCAAATGTTGGCATTTCCATTTCTCTACGAGTTAGATGTCTCGCAAGTTGGCCAACACATACGCCACATTCTCATGTGTTGCCGGCAACACTTCAACTGTCAACGTCAACCGTCAACCGCCAACGCTTTTGTAGTACGCATTTAGTTCGCTTGTTAGCCAAAT